ACTTCTTCCCAGGTTTTAGTTTTTTCATTCATTATATCCAGACAATAAGACCCCTAAACTTCATGAGAAGTGAAGCCCCCTTACTCAACTTGCAGTCACCCTGTACCCACACCCACCAAAGAAACAGAAACAGCTGAATACAATTAGAAATGACTGGTTTTAAATTCCGCTTACATACTTGGATACTTTAAAAGAGAACTTGTTTCAAATGCAAAAGAAAATCTCAAATGTGTCATGTAATTTATGTAGTTGTGGTAAAATATCTGAAGTTTGTGATTTTCTATTGTATTTCTTAGTAAGTATGGAAGTAAAACAACTCAGCAAAACCCAATCTGTTTTTTATGCTGGTCAGAACATGCTTGTCTTATAAAAACAGTACGTTGTTTTTCTTTGTCCTCTTTCCCCATCACTCTCCCCAAAGAGATTTCAGAGAAAAAAAAAAGAATCTGATGGCCAACAACACTTCCTGTCTTTTTCTCCATGTACTGAATTTAGAAAAAGCTTGATGTTTGCATCATGTTAAAACTACACAAGGTTGGTAGTTTATTCTCAATTGCCAATAAGAGAAAACAGCTGTTTTCTTCAGGGAACTTTTTTAAAAGATTTTGTCCTTATCAAAACCAGAGCAAAGCTGATTTCTGTCTTGTGCATCTCTGACTGTCAGATGGGCTCTTATCATGCTGCAGACTCACATGTACTCATATGCACCACATATGAGTACAAAAAAAAGGACCTGATCTTGAACTTTCCTGCACACATCATTTAGACTGACTAAACCATAGAAGAATACTACAAACAATGGAAAATGTTTTACAAAACAATGGAAAATGTTTTACATTATGTGAATCTGAATTTTTACAAAAACAGAGGCCCTTCGCCGATGTTTTATTTTCAAACAGAATGATCAACAGTTCTCCAGATTTGAAAGTTAAACGCAGTCACTCATGCTAAGAAAATATGTTACATTATTCCAACTTTCTTTATAATTTAAAACAATTATTTCACTAATAGAATCAAAATACACAAGTTGTATTTGTGTATAGTTGTATTTGTGTATATAAGGACTGCACCACAAAGATATAAAGTTAAAATGAAGGAATGGCCTAAGGAATACATGGATGGGATGAGTCATTAGGGGAGACATGTGAATGGAACCGTGGAAGCCGACTCATAGTGAGTCGGGGTATTCAGGACGTAACCTTCCCTATGCCTTGCTAGGGTTCCCCCAAATTGAGCCTGAAACAAGAAGAGTTAATGGGAGCAGAGAACAAGGTGAGGATGAAGGTGAGGAGAGGAAGAGGGGGATGAGTGGAACAGGAGGGGATAAAAGGAAGAGAGGAAGAGGGAGGGCGGGTTTCAAAAGCATGTAACAGGCGTGGAACATCGGGTGAATTGAGTTTATATAGACAGCTGTGTAATTAAAGGAGTAGTTGAGGCGTGGTCCTTCTCCCCAATCTAAGGTAGCATATTAACTCCATTTTATTAACAGACTTTTCTACATTTAATCTTTTCCCCTTTGGTAATGATGTCACAACATTTTGAGCTTGAAATGTTTGTGCCTTACAGTGAGTATGATATTTATTTCTGTATTGATTCCTGTTAAAAACTGCTGAAATGTCACTCACCAAGGAAGAAGCCGTGGTTCTAAAATACATTTTTAAAAGCCAAGTTACAGTTTGAAATGTTCTCAGGGAGAAAGATCTCAGTTTTTGAGCGCATTGTTCTCAATAAACAAGTATGGAGCCCAAGAATATCATCCCAACTGTGAAGTATGGGATGGTAGTTTCATGTCGCATGTATGAAGTTACACGCTGTGTGGGCATCTCACTGTATGATGAACTGCTACACTGCACAAGATAGGTGGCATTCTGAGGAAGAAATGTGGAACTACTGAAGCCATATCTGAAGATATCGAGCAGGACATTAAGCCTCAGACACAAATGGATCTTTTGGATGGACAGTGACCATAAACCAGGGGTCACCAGTGGGTTGCCTTTAAAAACCAGCAGTTCCAAAAACAGATTAATTCAATCCTGTCTGACATTTGTGGACAAATGTTCCTTATAATTCTGGGATTCACCAAAGATAATGATGTCTAAAGCAGGAAACATGTTTCTTGTCAGGCAGCAAGAGAAAATGTTGCATCATTTCATACATTGTCAGTAAACATTTGGTCAAAGGATTTTGTGTCCAAACAACAGTGTCATAGCAAACGAAGGGAAAAGAAGATACAGTGAAATAAGGCTTGTCCGGCTGAACTTCCTTACTGAAGATGAAATGCAGCTGCCTGTCAGCTTCACGAGTTGGTGGAGAGAGGGGGAAAGCCAGATGGACAGGCAGCAGTACAAGATTGCTGCAACCCAAAGCAGCAATGCACATATGTGATTCAAGTTTAACGTTTGATAAGGTTACAGAGAACAAACTACCCAGCTGAAAAATATGAAGGTTGAATCATAGCCTCTGTCATGCAACTGACCACAAGGCCATGAGTCACAACAAACTCATCAATCAATGCATTGATAAGCATGTGATAAGGTGTCAGCTATAAATACGTTTCCTAACTCAATATTTCATCCAGATATGAAGAGCATGACAGTGGTTTTCATATTCCGGCTGTTCAGCAGCTGCATGCTCGGCTCTCAGAGCGAAGAATAAATCACTGCAGGACAGAATGGGATCAGTGTGTGTTTTAAGAACTCTATGTGGAGCTCAAACCTTTACATGTCGACACTGCAGAACACATGTGAACCCTAAGAGAGCGCGGACATGTTTTCTGGATGGTCATAATGCGAAGCACATTTTCTTATTGCAGATGGCATGCAGAAAGCCAGGAGAGCCAGGAAACAGCTGATGACTAAGGATTAGATCCAGGCCACGGGGAGGAATGGGGCCGACTGTACTGTACAACATCAGGGCCATCAGAGAGCTGTGCTGCATACCACTGTCTTGACGCACTGGAAGGAAAATCCCTGCTCTTCATGAAAGATGTATAACTTTACAATATTTTCAAAAACCTGACACAAAGATGTGCCAGAGGAATAAATTGTTCTGACATGCATTACAGTCATTACAGTCTCAGACTGCTAATGGTTTATCCAAGACTTAAATGCTGTTTTCCAAAGATTTCTCTATAGAACAGATTTGGACAGCAGACTGGGTCATCTACATGGTCTGACTGCAATAAAACAGTTGGGGAGAGCTCTTTGAAAATACATGCGTAATTGAAGCTACTCAGTTCAAAAAGGACAATGGTTTGTTTCCAGAAGATGGAGGGACTGTTAATCAGACCAAATTCAGGTGCAAAACACGTGAAGACATGAAGGAAACACATGTCTTGGCTGTGAAACAGCTAGCATCACCATAATCTCCCACTGAGTTACAGACTCAGTTCCACTATCAGGGATACACTTCATTTCCACATGAATCACTGTAAGTCAATACCACAGATTTAGTCATATATCTTTTGTTTTGACCACATTTAGGCAGAACTGCTTTGGTCAAAAGTTTAGAATCCTATTTGTAAGATATTCAATTAATTCACTTCACACAATTAACCAAACATTTATAAGGATAAAAAAGTTTGTAAAACATGTAGAAATGTCAGAAAGCAGTGTGTTTGTCTTTTTATTCAAGAGCTAAAGATGAATGATGGTTATTTTACATATTTGTATAGAGAGGTTTGTTGTGGAAGTTCTTGCATGGATGTGCCCTAAGGGTCAGGGAGTGCCCTTAACTCCCTGACCCTTTCCAAAACTTTTGAATCCAGGCTTGACCCAATTGCAAAACAAAATCATCTTGTTTTTATTTAAACAAGATGTTTGTTGTGTGACTTTTGGAAATGCGCAAAACGGCGTTTCCAACAGAACTGCTCACTTTAGCACTGCTGCAAAACATTAAGAGTCTCTGAATAATCTCACTGAATCACCCTCATAACACCGAGATGACACAGCACTGAGAGGATGTCTCTAACACAAGAAACGTGAATTCATTTGCATTTATTTAAAAGAACCCTGGCAGTTAAAACAATAAATGTCTCCAAAACCGTGACGGCGACACTTGAAAGAGTTCATTATGCTTTTGATTGTGGGTTAACCATGCTGAGTTTTAAACTAACAACAAAGAATTTGATCGAGAAGCTGGAAAAATTTTAAAGTTCTGACAAACAACAGATTTTTAGCACTGACATCAGTGGACAAATCAGACTTCAAAGTGTTTTCAGTCAGAAAATGCTCAAAGGCAACTCATTCCTGGCAGTAAAACTCTTCTCCTCAGATAAATGAGATTGTTCAACAGATTGCCCACTCATTGGTTCACTTGAGACCTTAAATCAAGGCTGAAGCTGTGGTCAATTAAAGCTCGGTATGTATCATCACTGCAAAAGGAATGCATTTGTAGTCAAAGAGGATGCTGGAGACAGAAACGGATGCTGGGTCTGATTTCGATGGACAGCCAGGAGGTATGCAGAGAACATTGATTCTCTCAGCAGTGTTTAGCGGGAAGATTGTTGGTTCACTTCGGGTGACTGCAGAGGGTCGTATAAACAGGCTCTTTAGCAGTGAAACACAAAGTGGAGGGCATGCAAACAAGTTGTAAAGCCTACAATGTGTGTGTCTGAGTGTCACCACTATGTCTTGTCAAACGTTTTCTCTCATCGAGAAGACAAACTGTCAAAGAGTGAAAAGATGGATGTATGTGCAGAGATGCAACCCCATCAACATGTTGATGTTTGAACAGGTTGCTCGTGTTTTCATGCTTGTGTGTACACACTGAAGCATGCGGGTAACAGACACCCCCTATTAGAGACAGAAGAACATCAGGTATCAAGCAACAAAACGGGTAAAGAAGTTGTCCTTAGTCTTTTAAATCTGATTAGATCAAAGTCAAGACACTCTGGCGTGTGCTCTCTCCATGCCAGTCATCTATGAAATCACTTCTGAACAACTTTGTTCTGCCAACATCTGCCATTCAGCCTTGACCAACCGATAAGAAACACATCTTACCTTCAGAGCGCTCCTGCAGACACGGATGAGTCTTCCCTCTCTGACCCCCCTCCCAGAAAAAGGGGGAAAAAAAGCCGGCCAGAGAAGGGAAATGAGAGAAGAGTTCTCCAGCTGTAGTCCCTCCAGGGTCCACTGCTTCAAATGTCCGGTTCTCTCAGATGTTCTGAGGTTTCTCTCTGCTGTCCCAGGAGTCCGTTGGGAGGAGGTACCGCTCTGAGAATGGCTGTTTGTTTAGTCAAATCACAGCAACATGGGGGTCTGTCTCTCTCTCTCTCTCTCTCTATTTTCTCCTCTCTCACTTAACAGTCCAACACTTTGAAAGAGTGGTGCAAGTATGGAAGAAAAAAGGAAAAAAAAGTTCCCACTGGAGACATGCAAGACACACACTCCTGCCCTGACAGCCTCACAGAGAGCAGAGCAGAGGAGTCAGCGGTCCGGCCCTCGGCGAGCAGAGAGAGAGAGAAAGAGAGAGAGGTGGGAGGAGAGGAGAGGAGAGGGAGAAGAGCAATAGAGGCAAGTTTCATGAAAATGAAAGAAGAGGCAAACAAAACTTCAAAAACACAGATCAGGTTCTGCTTGTTGTTCTTAGGTAGCAGCTCGGAGGTCCCCAGAGCCAGAGCGATTTGTTTATGAATGGAGAGGCGAGCCTGCTGGAGGTGAACTGAGACAGTCTCTACTGGCAACGGCCGATCTGGACTTCGTCTAACCCTGCCATAAAACAACAAACACAGTGAAAAGGAAAAAGGACGAAGAGTGAGAGGTTGGGGCAGAGAAGAAGTGAAAAACAAAAAAGTTTTTTTGGCAGCGGTCTTGGTGCCCTGCTATGGTAACAAACAGTTGTGTCAGTTTCTCAGGAATAGGAGAGTGTTTATATAAGTACACAACCAGGATGAGGTGTAGAAGCCATAAACACAACCTGATTTCATCTTCTTCCTTGTTTTTCTTTTTTTTTCTTGGTAATTGTCTTTCATTAATTACATAAACTATCTCAGCACCTCGCTCTGTTCTCATCCTCTTTTGTTTTTTTCTCTCCGTACCCTTTCATCCTCTCTTCTCTTGCTCACTGCACGTCCTAAATATTGGCTCTCCTCCTAATTTCGTCCTTTCCCAGGGCAGGAGGGGCTTGGACCCCACTGTTGATGAAGGCTTTCTTTCCTCTAACAAGCAGGCAGAGTGAGGGGAGGAGGGAACGGGGCTAAATTGGACAGTAACATGTTGTCCTCTAATTGTGAGGGTAAATCTAAAAGCCCTGTTAGACGTAATTAGAGAACTCCAGTTATTTGATAGAAGGGGAGAAACCACACAAGGCAGATCACCATCTAATTTTACTCATGTAATTAACACATCCTGTTAAAACAGCTGGCCTTGAGCTACAGCCAAATTCTGCAATATCTCTGATATTATAAAGAGTTTAAATAAGTAAAAAGATATATCTGTATGGCAAAAATACCTATATTTCACAATCCATCCATTGTTATTTATTTTGCATCGACAATTTTAAAGCGAGCTGCAAAAAAAATGCATTTGATTGTGGAATGGGAAATCTATAGGAAGCCTGCAAACAGGACACAGAACTGTCACTTATTTGAATTTCATTATTATATATAATTTTAGCCTGCAGTTACCATGGAGTACAGCTGGGAAGACACAAAGGGTCCATCTATCGCTTTATATTTGGCGGCAGTGCTGAGTGTGGTCTTTACCAAGCTGGACCTCCAAATATTCTGCCAGAACAATGCTGAGTCTATCTGACCGAGTAAAGGGTGTGTCCTCACTGTTCAACCCATATGATTCTACAAATCATATGGACACATTCTGAAAACAAAAATCAACACTTTCTGCATGTAAGTGACAAAATAAGACCATAACATTAATTCTATTTGTAAGATATTCAGAAAAGCTTTGTAAATAGTTATTATCTTGACCACCGACTCTTGTAGTTTTAGCAGTGTCAAGACTTTGCTTCTTGACATTAAATACATTTTTGACTGTAGTGTTAGTGTTTAGTTCCTGGAATCTGATCATTTCAGTCCTTCTAGTTTCAATATTAGCAGAACTGACGTGCATTATTTAACAACTCATTACTTATGCAGCATTTTAGTTCCAGAATACCTAATTCCAAGTAAAATGGAATTATACAAGATATATAAATCAGCTTCATTATGCAGGATTATTATCAGTAATCTCAAAATCTTCTTCTCTAACTGGAGTATGCAAATTTAAATATTCAGTTTTATATAATTACTAACAGAACAAACATCAATGACCAAGAAGCTGTTTAGTTTTAAATATGCTTTTCTTTCATTTTAACATTCTGCACTTAGTTGAGTTAATGCTGTTGTAACCAAACTCTCCATCAGGACTCTGGATGTTTGCTTCTCTGCAGTATGTGTTCTGAAGCGTCTCCACTGGAGGGCGCAGTGGGACCGGAGATGACCTTATTTCTTCTTCTACGCTTCAGTCATTTAAGGCATCAGATGAAGACAAAACTTTTCAGTGTGTTTCTGGATTGCACATCATTACCTTCTTCCAAGACAACAACTTTTAGGTCAAATTTCCATAGCTGGGGAACCTCATCTTCATAATTGTCCATGAAACCTGTCCCTGCAACAATTTGACCTCTGCTCCACCACTGCTGTCCACACAGACCTCTCCACCTGAATTCATTCTCCCTGTTGTCCTTCCATGGTGTCATTAAGCTCATTTCACAGTCTTTCTTTATTAAATAGGGGGTTACTTTTGTGTGAGCAAGGGTTTAAGCACCTCCAAATGGCCACCATGTGGGAATCCATGATTTCTGAAACATATATAAAAGAATCAAATCAACGCTCCAGGTATGATTTTGATGAGGGAGTAACATTTACATAATCTCCCCATTCCTCATTACATTTTTCTTATTTTGGACAGTCTGTTCAAACTGCGAAGAGGACTACAGCATAGCCCAGTGTTTCTCAGTTCCGGACTTCGCTGCCCTTCTATCTCTGCTCCAGATCACCTGATTCAAATGATTGCATGATCTCTTTTGCATGCCCTCTGGTACTGCAAAAGCTTGTTAATCCCCCACTCATTCAAGTCAGGAGTGCAGCATAAGAGAAACACCAAAACCTTGCAGGGCAGCGGTCCCTGAGAACCAGGATTGAGAACCACAGGCTTCGCCACATGGTCCGCTTGCTCCACTAACTGTGCCACCCAGTGTCTCTGTGAGTTGGGTTCTAAAACCTCTACTATACACAGTTATCAGCGTATACTGGAATGAAAATGTGACATTTTACACAAATTTTAACTCTTAAGACATCTGAAATGATCAGACATTTCTTGTAAGATTTCAAATGTCAAAGTGGGTTAGAAGCTTGTAGCATTAAAACTAATTGTATTCACAGCTGCCGCAGTAGAAACACAATCTAAATGTTTGTCCAAAGTCGTTATTGCAAGTATTTCCTCTCCCTACGCTCTGCTCTTCTCAGCATTTTATCTCATGCTGTATTTTACAGCCATGTGGTGAACAGAAAACATGCTTGGTCAGACTCCATACAGGGCCTTGGAAAGTGTTTATACTCAAACATTTTCACATTTTGGTCGCATAACCATGCGTTTCAGTTTATGCAGTTTGATTGGGATTATAGAAGGAAGAAAAACAATGGTTTTCAAAAATGTTTACCAATAAAAATCTGAAAACCTTGGTTTGCATCAGGTTCCCTCCACCATGCAGAAACTATTTGGCATTGGCAGAAAGGACGTTTTTAATTGGTGTAACCCACATACTCAATACTGCTACAACCTATGATTGCACTTTTGATACAAATCTAGCATCAGATGAAGTAAAAAAACAAAACAAAACAAAAAACAGCTTTGCAATGGAATATGATTTATTACCAAGACACGTTATGACAACAAATAAAAAAACAATGTCAACCAAACACATATTTTCTGAATTTTTATGTAAAGTCTTTTACGACCTTCGTTGTAACAAACATGATGAAACCACCTCTGTTCATCAAAACAAACAGAAATCCATAAACTAATTCCACTGTGACAAAGAGTGTTGAAATATCTTACACTGTTTGGATACTGTAAACCCATGTCCATAATATTGTTTCAATCAGATTGTGGGTTAGAGCACCACTTAGAGGAAGACCACTGCCGTCGGAGCCAGGACTCTGACGGCAGATCTCTGTCTGACACATGTGAGCTCAGAAGTGAACAGAAGTCTGTCATTAGTTCTCCCTCAGTGAGCTTTAATGAGAAAAACTATGCTCAACCTACTCTGTTTAAACAGAACCTCTATACATGGACCATGGCCGTGAAGTAAACACTAATTTAAGTAAGCAGAGAGTGTTCCTCCAACCCACCTCTGCTCTTCGTTTACAGGAAACATCAGAAGCCATTTACGTGGTGTCTGGATATTAAACGCTTGCGATTTTAGTAGAAGTTTCAGGATAGGAAAGGTCAGAATTGAGATACTTCTTAGTGTGCATTAGCATATTCCTTAGTGTATTCTTTAAGAGGTTAAACCACATTCAACTATTTTCAGGACAGTTGGTTTTTCTTTAATGTATTTCCAGCTTTTGATGGTATGTTTTTGATGTTCATATTGCACTTAATGCTTGGGTCAGCAGTATTTCCGCCTCCATTAACATAAAAACGGTTCAGATTGGACATTAATGTTTTCTCCAAGAAAATGCCATGAATCATTTATGAATGTTTGCTACATTCAAATGTATGTAGGCATAAAGAAATGCTTTCTGTAGAACAGAATGATGTCAGCTGAATGTAAAAAAATATATATAAAGAAAGCAGCAGATGATATGCAGTGCATGAAAAAAAGTATGTTGGTCTTGCTAAAAAATAATTAATAAATACTTACCTGGTCCTGGATATTTATTGCTTTCTTTTTGCTGCCCTCTTGTGGATATTTTTATTCCAACTTTCATGATTGATTTTCAACAGCTTGACATTAGGACAACAAAAACATAGTAATTCCAAATAATAAACAGAGAAAAAGAAACATAAGCTGGTTTCTCCCTAAACCAAACTCACCCTGAACACAATCTGTTCTAGGTCCAATAATGAGGCAGATAACAGAGATCCAGTTCCTGTATCTACACTCAGTAACACCACAGAAACTCACCTATCCACACAAAAAGACAGAATATAACAACAACAATCAGATATTTCAGAGCAGTGGTTGCCTAATTTTGGGTAAATACCAATTGTGTGCCTTTTAATTGCTGTAAATAAACAATTTCAACTCTAGTGGATGACTTTATCTTGTAATGTGGTAAAATATGCTCATGAATTAAGGAGATAGTGAATGGTTACATCTCCCATAGGTTAGTTTTATGAACTGAAAACATTTTATTACTTCCTGCTTTAATTTTTTTCTGGTTCTGATCCTCGGTAAGGATTATGACC